CCCCCTCCCCCTCCTCGCTCCCCCACCGACCTGTGGGTGCCAGGACACGCGGAGGAATCTCCTTCGCGCTCCTCCTCGCTCCTCGCTGCTCCTCGCTCCTCCCCCCTCGCTCCTCATCGCTCCTCCTCTCGCCTCCTCCCTCCCTCCCTCCCTCCCTCCTGTGCAGCCGTTGCGTGGGCGGCCAGGGGGGGGCGGGCAAGGGCGCGGGGTGTGCGGCGGAGCGCCGTGGCGGCCCGTGCGCCTTGCTCCTCTCGCTCTTCAAAGGTGGGGGGGGCAGGGGGGGTGGGAGGAGCGCGGACCAGACCTGTGCCCAGATCCACTGCAGCTTGGGCTCCCTTCTCTCGAAGCCCGAGGCGCGCTGGATGGGGATGAGAATCTGGCCCCTGGAGGCTCGATCTTGGTCACTATCAAGTGCGCCTCGGCCTTGCGGCGCCCCTCCCAAGAAAGTCCAAGACATCTTGTATATGGATATGAATCTTGCCCGCGCGGAGGACGAGCAGGAGGGATAGAGGGAGGAAAATAGGGAGGAGGGTTCCCCTCTAGTCTCCTGCGCCGCCTTCGTGGTTCCCTCTCACTCCCCCTGGCGAGGGCCCGGGGGGAAGCGCCAATCCCAACCGAAATAGTGCCGCCACCTGCTCGAGCTAGAGCTCGATGAGAAGGAGGAGGAGGAGGAGGAGGAGGAGGAGGAGAAGGAGGAGAAGGATACGGAAACGGAAACGGAAACGGAAACGGGAAAGGAGGAGGTGGAGGAGGAGGAGGAGGAGGAGGAGGAGGAGCAAGGAGCAGGAAATTGATGTGTTTTCACCTTACGTTGTTCGCTCTCCTCAGGGCAACGTAGGGGGGGGGAGCTCAGAGGCGGATGCATCGACCTTCAATCGCCCATTGATCGCCGACAGGGGCCCGATGACCCACTCCGCCCAGAGCCATGCAGTCTCGCTATTCGAGGCCTGTCGCCGATCTTTCGGCGATGCATCGCCGATTCCAGCTCGGTGTTTCCCCCCTGAGCCCGTCCCCCCTGTTGTTGCCCCTCCTCACGCCTGTCCGACTGTCCCCTGAGGAGTTTGCAGACAATCCAGAGGGCGACCCCGAGGTCATGGAGTTTGTCCGGAAGGTGTACGAAGATCCCGAGGTGCAGATGTTGTCCGCGAGGCTGGACGGGGAGCAGGGCGAGACTGAGGCTTGGAAGCCAGCGGCGCCGAACAGAATGTGGAAGTTTCAGAAGAGACCGCGGCGCGAGGATAGATTACCCTTGCTGCAGCCGAAGTGGATGAAGCTGGCCGGCGTGGCCGATGGATCGATGAGCCCGAGGGATGAGCAGGGCGAGCCGATCGAGCTGCGCACCAAAGCTCCCCCGAGGGAGAGCATCTTCCGGACGCAGCCGTTCGCCAGGGGCTGCCGAATGGGGATCCGCGTCCCGACCGTGTGCAGCCCCATGTGATCGCGGTGGGAGAAAGGGCGCGCGCTGGCAACCTCGCAGCATGTGCCGCCTGTGCAGTGATGGGGCGGTCGCGGAACAGGAGGGTGACGGGGTGGAGGAGGAGGGGGAGGAGGAGGAGGAGGAGGAGGAGGAGGAGGAGGAGGAGGAGGAGGGGGGGGAGGAGGAGGATATGGAGGATGAGGAGGGGGAAGGGGGAGGAAGAATAGGGCAAGCTAGGTGCGCGCGCGCGTCATATCTGACGTCCTACCCCTCCCTCCCATCCCTTACCATGGCGCTGATTTTCTCTATCCGCGGACTAGTGGGTGGTGGTGCGCGTGCGTGCGTGCGTGCGTGTGTGCGTGGTGGTGGTGGTGGTGGTGGTGGTGGTGGTGGTTGGTGCTGGTGGCTGGTGCTGGTGATGGTGGTGTGTGGTGGTGTGGCTGGTGCTGGTTGTGGTGTGGTGGTGGTGGTGGTGGTGGTGGTGGTGGTTGGTGGTGGTGGTGGTGGTGGTGGTGGTGGTGGTGGTGGTGTGTGTGTGTGTGTGTGTGCGTGTGTGCGCGTGTGCTGTGGCATGGCACGGGAAATGACGCCAGCGCTGCAGCGGGAGCACGAGTCGAAACGGGCGGAAGCGCGGAAATGAGGCCAGCGCTGCAGCGGGAGCACGATTCGGAACGAGCGGAAGCACGGAAATGAGGCCAGCGCTGCAGCGGGAGCACGATTCGGAACGAGCGGGGCCCGAAAATGAGGCCGGCGCCTCGGCGAGAGCAGCATTTTGAAAAAAAACACAAGCGACAACCCGTTTCCCGGGAATCTTGTGTGTAAAAAACAATACGCGGGGGGGTGTCGGATATCTTCGGGACGCCATCAGGGGAAGTGGGAGAGTATTTTCATATTGTGTAATTGTGGAGGAGGAGGGAAGGCAAAGGCGCGGGCGATGGCGGGAGCCGCTCATGATCTCGAACAGGTGTTTTTCAAGAAGGCTTCGGATGGTGAATGATGGTGCACATCGATAGGGGATCTGGACCAGATGAGATCTTGAGAAGGCACAGCGACGAATTTCAAGTACTCACGATAAGTCAGCAAAGGCTATATTATTGCGATTGCCAGCTCAACGACATGATTGACATGACATTGGAGCCCGATGGCATCAACATGTGTGACGGTCGGGGTATTTTAGTTTGCGTGTTGCGCCGCCGGTTTTGGCCCACCATTCTTCGGCGCGACACGCTATCCACGCCCAGATCCCGAAGCCTCGACGTTCCCAGCCTTTCCCAGCCTCCCGCTCCGCGGCGCGGAGCGACACGCTATCCACTTGCACTGCATAGCGTGCCGCCGGGGCCGCCGTTGCGACACGCTAAGCCCAAAGTTCCTAACCGTGTATTGTCAGGGTGCTTGCGCACGAGCGGTGTCCCCTGGCTATGCATCAGAATGCTGGGTGCACATGGCGGTGCCGGCCTGGGGCGAGAGCTGCAAAGACATGTGGCTTCCTGTCTTTCCAGCTCTCGGCCTCCGTATGGCTAGGCGCCGTGCTACTCCACACGTGGACCTACCCAGCAGGTGGCACGTGCGTGTGCGCTCCGCGTGCGAGAATCCAGCCACGTGTGCGTGCCAGGTTGCTCCGGGTCGTCTCCGGACACGGGGCTCAGAGGCTCTGGGACCGCGCCCGAGAAGCCTCAAGAAGCGCCACGAGGTGCACAACAGCATTAAGGTGAGGGCCGTTGAGGCCTCCAGAGACCCCAGACGCCCAAACGGATCGAACGCAGTAGATTCAGATGTGCTCTTTCTGCGTCTTGGGTTCGATATGTTTTTGTCAAGTCCCTTTGCTGCCTGGCCCTGCCAGAGTTGTTCCCGCCGCGTTTCTTCAGCCGCCCTCCGCACGATGGTCCCTCGGGGTTCGCGACGGCCGCCGGAAAGCCCCAGGAGGGTCCCAGAGGGCCCCGCGAGGGTCCCCAGCGGGCCCCCGTGCTGCTCGAGGTGGAGCCCCGAGCGGCCCACGAGACGGCCCGAGGGGGCGCCAAGAGCGCCACGGGGCGGCGCCGAGATGCCCCCCATCTGCGGGCCCGAGGGGCCCTGGGCAGCCCAGGGGGCAGCCCGAGAAGACGGCCCAGGAGAGGGCCCCCCAGGACGGCCCAAGAGAGCCCCAGGCTGCCCTTGCCCAGGCCCCCTCGAGCAGTGCAAAAATTACGACAGGAGGTCTTTCGCCATTCTCAGCCTCTGGGGACCCTTACCGGGCCTCGGGACCGTCAAAAAACGACTCAGTATGAAAAACCTGTCCCAGGGAATAGGTCGAAACCTTTGGGGGTCGACGCCATGAAAAAATCATGACGCCGGGGGTCTGGGTGCGAAGGCCCGAGAGAGAGCCTCCCGAGGAGCCCCCGAGACAGTCCCAGGACGGCCCAGGCGGGCCCTCAGACTGCAATCGCAGTCGAAAGTCGGCCACCCGCGCACTGCTTTCCCCAGCATCGGCAAGCTTCTTCCAGAGGCAGTGGCACGAAACGGTGGCTCGCCGCATGCGTCTTGGCTTTCGGATGCTTGATCCCATGAGTCTCCTGTCTCCGCACCCTGCCTTCACTGTTCCTCCTTACCTTCCCTTTGCACTCACATCTCCCAGATTCCTGCAGCTCCTCCTCCTTATCATCTTCCTACTCCTTGTGCATATTGTCCCTCACCATCTCCTTTCGAAGAGTCATGCGCGTGCGCCAAGGGGACCTTCAGATAGCGAGGAACTAGTCCACGCAGGAAGGCTTTCATGAACCCTCTGACGACTTCTGTGATCTCCACTGCTTCGACTTCCGTAGCTCCATGGCATCATTGGGAGAGGCCGTAAAGCGTCCAGAGACTCTGGCTTCTGGGTGTTCGTGATGTTGCTCTGCGTTATGCTTTGGCGCCCAAGCTGACCATTCGAGCGACGATGATTCTAGATTGCTTCGGGTGATGAAGACGGCATTTGCAACCGGTGACACGTGTCAGCCATAGCCTTGGGATCTGCGCCTGCGAAGAAGCCAAGGTCTGTGTTTTGCTTCTTGCCGCTGCGCGGCGAAGCGTTGAAGGCGGAGCCGGATCCAGGCACAACCAGTGAGAATGCGCGTTGTGCATCAGTTGAGCCGATTTCGATGGCTGGTCCTATCGGCGCCACCAGCGTGAACGCGTACGGATATTCTGCCTCTTCTTCGTCGCGCCGCGCCGCGACAGCGTCACCAAGTTGGGGTTTGCCCTGGTGCTGCGGCGGCTTCGTGGCTTCGTGCCCGAAGCCGCCTCTCAGCTTGTCGTCTTCCTGCGCGGCGCGCTCTCACGCGCCCGAGGGTTCTTCCTGATCCGCTCCTCTCCCTGTTGGCGCGCTGTGCCAAGCTCGGGGCGGAGGCGTGGTGTTGAGATCCTTTCCTGGCCAACCCAGAGGCGTGACATGTTGTTCGCCCCTGCGTGCGTCGCATGGCTCCAGCAGGGACGCGTTCGGAGCCTCCACTCGAAGCAAGCGGTGGGCGTGCATCTGCAGGCGATCAGCAGCCTATTTGCGTTTGCATCGGAGTAGGTGTTGCCGAGCACCCGACCAGCTTCGGAGTTACAGTTGGCAGCACGCGGGTGCAGTTCTGGCGATCAGGCAGGGTTGCAGCAGATGGGAGACAGATAGGGGCCAGAGCGGGGAGGCGGAGGGCATGGAGGCGTAATGGGAGGAATGGCAGCGGGCTTGCGAGCCAGACCATTGGCAGCGTATCCGTGCGAATCATTGCTCCGCCAGCCAAACCGCCCGAAAGATCAGAAAGAGCACCACGCGTATAATTCCTGCCAGACGTGGTGCTCCTGTGCGCGTGCTGAGCGCGATGATGTCCGGCTTGCTCGGGCGTCATCCCAGGCTTCGTCTGGCTTGATCTGGCCGAAATTCCTCCTCTTCATCGGACTTACTGGCGCTTCGCCGCTGTTAAGCAGGCCTCCCAGGAGGTACATCCCAATCGATGTCTGCGCGCGCCACGGGGCCGCGAGGCCCTCATCTCTGGCTTCGTGGGCAGATTCGGGGAGCGCGTCAGCCAGGCGGAGCTGGAGGCCCAGGACCCCAACAGGACCCCGGGCAGCCCCGGAGCGCCCGGACGGGCCGCTCGTCCCGGGGAGGGCCGCCCCTGGGCAGGAGGGGTCGCCTCTCGGCTTCCTCTTGGAAGCGGCCCTTCGCCAGGGCGGCCTTCGGTTCTCACCACCCACCGAACCGCCCCAACGCAACCCGAAGGCTTCAATTTGCCCTGCATCTCCAGCGGGGGTGGGGGGTGGGGGGGGGTCGGGGAGCATAGAAAGCACAGATCTGGAACCCGTACCCCCCCCCTCCAAACCGAAGTTCGGGTCTTCTGGTTGGGTTGGGGTGGTCTGGTAGGTAGTCAGGTTCGGTAGCAAATCATGGGAGCCCTGTACAGTCGACGTGGATTAGTAGGTCGACCCTGCCAAATCCAGGTTTAACCTTGTGTCCTGTGTTTCGCGACCCCTGCATTCTACGTTCCTATGGAACTGTGGCCCTCGGAAGGGTCTTGTGTCCTATCGCGTGTCCTCCGCGCAGACTCAGCGTCGATGTAACGTTATTTGGCGGCGACCGACAAGAGCCAGCAAGATGACATGGGATGCTCCCTTGAGCTGCCACCGAACTTTGGTGCGCGGTCCTTTTTGTGGGAGCTCGGGGGGGGCCAGACTCTGGTCGGACGAGAGCGGGGGATTGGGAAAGGGAGCTCTCAGGTGGCTTCTCGTCGCCAGGCGTGGGTTTCTCTCGACAGTTCTGCCCATGGCGCACCCTCGGAGGGGTTCTGGGGGGGCGGTGTCTGACCCCCAGGCCCAGAACCCCTCTCGTTCAGAAGAGCACCACGATGGAAGCTGTCGGGTCATTCTCGGCTTCTGGCCGGCCTTGGCCGACTGGCCGGGGGGGCCCGTCGCAGAGCGGCTCGGGACGTTACGCTGACCCTGGGGAGGGGGGGTCCGCGTTGTGACAAGTTGGAGGAGCACTCGGTCACTACCATAGGCAGGAGAGGGAGGAGAGGGAGGAGGAGGAG